ACATTTTCCCAATGTTCAGTCTTCCTATCCCAGTTGTGAGGATTTTTGTTTTCTATATGTTGAGGTGTAATCCATACTGTAGTCTTTGATTTTTGTCAGTAAGTGTTTCAAGTTCTCTTCACAGTGAGCAAACAGGCTTTTGTCATCTGCATATTGCAGGTTGTTAATGAGTCTTCCTCCAATCCTGATGTCACTTGCTTCTTCATATGGTTCAGCTCCTCAGATTATTTGCTGAGCATACAGAATGAATAAGTATACTGAAAGTATGCAGCCCTGACACACATTCTTCCTGATTTTAAGCCATGCATTGTCCCCTTCTTCTCTTTGAACGACACCCTCTTGATCTGTGTACAGGTTCCTCATGAACACACTTAAGTGCTCTGGAATTCCTGTTCTTCCCAGTTTTATCCATAATTTGTTATGATCCACACGGTGAAATGCCTTTTCATAGTCAATAAAATACAGGTAAACATCCTTCTGGTATTCTTTGCTTTCAGCCAAGATCTATTTGACATCAGCATTGAGATCCCTCATTCTTTGTCATCTTCTGCATCTGGCTTGAATTTCTGGAAGCTCCTGTCAAAATTGCTGCAACTGTTTTTTAATTTCCTTCAGCAGAATTTTAGTTGCATGTGATATTAATGATATTGTTCAATACTTTACAAATTCTAGTGTATTATCTTTCTTTGGAATGGGTACAGTAGTGATCTCTTCCAGTCAGTTGGCCAGGTAGCGGTATTCCAGATTTCCTGACATAAACGAGTAAGCACCTCCAGCACTGCCTCCATTTGTTAAAACATCTCAGTGGGTGCGTATTCCATCAGTTCTTGGAGCCATGTTTTCTGCCAATTCCTTTAGTGTGGCTTGGACTTCTTTTAGTACCGTTGGTTCTTGATCTTCTTCCACCAACTCTAGTTCTTTTTGGCACAATGACTCTGTATAGAATCTTTAAGTATTGCAACTTGAGGCTTTAATTTTTTGTTCCGTTATTTCAGCTTGAGAAATACCGAGTGTATACATCCCTTTTGGTTTTCTGACTCCTGGTCTTTGTACATTTTGTTATAATAATTTACTTTTTCTTCTCAAGCTGCCCTTTGAAATCTGCTCAGCTCTTTTATCTGTTCATTTCTTCCATTTGTTTTAGCTACTCTCTGTTCAAGAGCAACTTTCAAAGTCTCTTCTGATGTACATTTTGGTCTTTTTTTCTTTCCTGTCTTTTTAATGACCATTTGCTTTCTTCATGTATGATGCTCTTGATATCATCCCACAACTTGTCTGGATTTCAGTCACTGATGTTCAGTGTGTCAAAAACTATTCTTCATATGATCTCTGAATTTAGGTGGGATGTACTTGTCCCAGTTACCTAGTGCCGCTCTGACAAGAATATACCACAAATGGGATGGTTTAACAAACAAGAGTTTATTCTTACAATGTGAAGGCTTTAAGTCCAAGTTCAAAGTGCCAGGCTCTAGGGGCTAGGTAAAAGCCCCTCAACCTTGGGGTTCAGCTCTGTCTCCTGCTCCTGGCCCACTGGAGCTAGAGGCGTTTCTTCACTCAGACAGCTGCTGGCTGCTGAGGCTGAGAAACCCCAAAGTTAACAAGTAAAAAAGGCATAGTCCCGATGTTACCAAACCACATGGCAGACCATTAACATAAGTCCATTGTAAGTCCCAAGGTCGGCATAGCATTGCAGGGTGTTGAACAATGACACGGCTGCATGCAGGGTCCAAGTGTGTCAAAGGCTAGAGACCATTCCCAAGGCTTCTGCTTATATACAGGAAGCAGACCACATCCCAAAGATAGCTACTCATCTCCTTGTGGTAGATCCCACCATGGAGTTGATTGCCAGTCTCATCATGGGGAATAACTACCACCAGCTGTCCAGCCACTCAGCCAGGCCCAGCCGAGTTGAAACACAAACATAATTACCACATTACTCAAGGTCATATTTTGGGTCTTGTAGACTTCTTTTAATTTTCTTCAGCTTCAGTTTGAACCTGCATATGAACAGTTGATGGTATGTTCCATAGTCACCTCCTGGCCTTATTTTGACTGATGATATTGAGAATCTCTGTTGCCTCTTTCCACAGATGTAGTTAGTCTGATTCCTGTGTATTCCATCTGGCAAGGTCCACATGGATAGCCACTGTTTATGTTGTTTAAAAAACGTATTTGCAGTGAATAAGTTGTTGGTCTTGTAAAATTCTGTCATGCAATCTGTGACATCGTTTCAATCCCCAAGGCTGTGTTTTCCAATTTCCGAGGATTCTTCTTTGTTTCTGACTTTCCCATTCCAATCACCAGTAATCATCAATACATCTTAATTACATGTTTGGTCAGTTTCAGACTGCAGAAGTTGGTAAGAATCTTCAATTTCTTCGTCTTTGGCTTTAGTGGTTGTTGTGTGGATTTGAATAATAGTAGTAGTAACTGATTTTCTTGTAGGTGTGTGGATATTAACCTATCATTAAGAGCACTGTACTTTAGGGTAGATCTTGAAACATTCTATTTGACAATGAATGTGACACCATTCCTCTTCAATTTGTCTTGACCAGGACAGTAGATTATGTGATTTTTTAGATTCAGAATGGCCAATACCAGTCCATTTCAGCTCACTAATGCCTAGGATATTGATCTTTGTGCATTCCATTTCATATTTTGATAACTTCCATTTTTTCCTAGATTCATACTTTGTACATTCCATGTTCTGATTATTAATGGATATTTGCAGCTGTTTTTCCCATTTTGCGTTGTACTCCATCAGCAAATGAAGGTCCTGAAAGCTTTACTCCATCCATGTCATTAAGATCACTTATACTTTGAGGAGGCAGCTCTTCTCCAGTTGTATTTTGAGTGCTTTCCCACCTGAAGGGCTCATCTTCTGACACTGCATCAGACAGTGTTCCAGGGTTATTCATAAAGTTTTCCAGTAATGCATTAGATAGTGTTTCACTGCTCTTGATAAGGTGTTCACAGGCCAATTCTTTGAGAAGTGGATGGCCCTATCCTTCTTCCCCGTCTGTCTTAGTCTGGAAGCTCCGCTGAAACTTATCCACCGTGGGTGATTCTGCTGGTATTTGAGATACCGATGGCCTGGCCTCCTGCCTCAAGCCACCACAATATGGCAAACTGACACATGAATTGTGGGCAGGAAGGTAGCAGTTTTGAAACATTTGCGTTTTGGTAAAAAGAACGGTGCGATTCAGCTTTAAGTGGTCATTCCTTAGACCTTTTGTAAAAGTATTGTAAAAATCTCTATATTAAAAAAATAAAATTCCCTCTAATCCTGGCATCTTACAGTACATAAAATACAATATATTGCAGAGTACTGAAAGTGAGGGCTGAGTGAGGCCACCATTCCCAGTTCCTGTGTGCTGTGGACTTCCCATTCTTCCCTTAAGTTACCTCCATGCATGTGATGACCTGAGATGTGGTCCTCTGATGTGAGACCAAGGGAGGCATTGGTGTCAGTCTGCCTACTGAATGCAGCTGCACCTCCTTCCCCTTTTCTCTGTTCTAGTCATCACTCAAAGTTCTGCCCACATCTGGCTTTCTCTTTCATTTACTCTGACTGTATCTTTCTGCTAGCTAATTGTATATATGACTTACATATCTGTATGTTTTAGCTTCTCTCTTTTGCAAGCTCTTGAAGGACAGAAGGTTTTATTTCATCGGTTGTCTCATTGCAGTGTTCTTTGCACACTGGAGTTACCATTAACTGTTTGAATGAGTAAGTTAATGAATTTATAGTAAACACTCAGTGAGGGTTCATAAGTGTTACATATCAATGTTTATGTCTTCATCTGCTTTCCAAACAAAGCCTTGGGAAACAATCATTCCAGTTTTCAAGGCACTGACTGAAGTCCACAGAGGTTCAGTAGCTTGTCTAGCAGTGATGGAGCTTGAAATCTGAAGTTTTCTTTTTCAAAAAAGAAAATTTTTATTTTTTATTTTAAACATGTAACACATTTCTTGGTATAAAAAGATTTGAATAGAGTCTTGATCTCACCTGTAACTCAACTAATTTTCTCCCTTGATCTGCTTCTTAATAGGAAACTCCTTTTATTCATTATTTTCTGTGACTGTTTCCAGTTGTTCCTTATGCAGGAAAAAAAACAAAACAAACTCTTACTTCAGCCTTTTTCTACATAGAAGTTTATATACTGCGTTTATTTTTTAATTTAACAATAATTTGTCTTGGAGATTTTTCTCTAGATTTAGAGAGCATCTCGCTTTGTTTTTGACAATCTATGTTGTAGCATGGATGTTCTGTAGTTTATTTAATCAGTCTTATTGTGACTGATGCAATGACTTTATAAATAAGTCAGTTTTCTGTATTGTGCTAGCATATATATAGGATTTATTCCTAGAAATGGGATTGCTGGGTCAGAAGGTAAATGTACTTGTGTCATCAAAATTGTCCTTCCTAACAGTTGTACCTGTTTGCACTCTTACCAGCAGTATGTTAGAGGGCCTGTTTCCTTACAGCCTTACCAATAGAATGGTCAAATATTTGAATTTTTGCCAATCTAATGGGTAAAAAATATCTAGATCCAAGTTGAGTATCTTTTCATATATTTAAGGTCATTTGCATTTCTTTTTTTGCGGTCTATTCCTATCTTTGGGCTAGTTTTCTGTTAGATTTTTGTAGCTTATAAAATATTAGGAAGAAAATGCTCTTTGTGATAAGATAAATTACCTTTTCCCAGTTTCGTATTTGATTTTAAAGAACCAGGAGGTTGAACTTTGTTCCAATTTCATCATTATAATTGTACTACCTCAAAGATGGGGCAATCTACTTCCGTAGTGATACTGCCTTGGAAACCCAAGAAGGGGTCGCTATGAGTCGGGTCTGACTCGACAGCACATAACAACAACAAACAACAACCTCAAATAATACGTGTTATACACTCCTGAAAAGATCGATTTAAGTGTAACTATTAATTAAAGCACCTAGCATTTTAAAACTATTTTCTAATAATAATTTCTTTCCTCATTAGACACGGCACCAGCAAGGAGATACACATCCTCTAACTTTAGAAGAAATTTTGGATGAAACTCAACATTTAGATATTGGGCTTAAGCAGAAACAATGGCTAATGACCGAGGTAAGAAGAAACCAAAACCAAACCATTGCCATCTAGTTGATTCCAACTCATAGTGACCCTATAGGACAGAGTAGAACTGCCCCATTGGGTTTTTAAGGCTGTAAATCTTTATGGATGCGAACTGCCTCATCTTTCTAGGCTTAAAATATTGGTGTTTTTTTTTTTTTTTAAATTAAGGTTAGTTGATTACCCTGAGATCTTTGCTATAACCAGGTGTACGTTCCCCCCGCCATAAATGTTTTGAAATCTAATAATGATTTTGACCTTTTCTGAAGGAATTGATGTAGGGTCTTTGTTTTTGCTTTTTAAGCATACATGTTTGTAAGATTGTTTGATGTGTTGGTTTTTATATCGTTTCATGTATCTATTTTTTTAAATGCTGTAAGTTAAGGCTTTAGGGTAAAAGTTGTAAAGAAGTCAGTCATTGTACCAATTCCACATAACTGTTTTTACAGAATAATTGATGCTTCTTTTGAATAGCTAAATTTGTAATTTACATGCTTGTAAATAGTATTGTTTCTATACATGTATTAAGAAATTTAAAGGATGAGGCTGTAGGCATAGTTAAATAATTCGTTGCATTCTTACTTCTGTTTTGGCTTGTTAGTGATTTCTTGCCTCTCACAGATTATCTGGTAAAACAGTCTTGAACGTATAGCATTTCAAGAAAAACTCTTACATAGTAAATCAGTGACTATGCTGATTTGGAAATTAATAGCATTTTAAAAATCCAGATAGTTGCTTATCTTGACTTCAAATATGAAATGCGAATCAAGATTACCCTGTAGGGCCAATGCTCGATTCTGAAGACCAAATATAAAATTCTCAAAATACATTTCATTTAATTTATTTTACCAAGCAAAATGTCCTTTTGATTTTCATAATAAAAAAATCATTTAATCACTTTATGGCTTATTTTATTAGTGATACACATATAGTGGTAATCCACATTTACCTAATCTTGGAATTTCATAGATCACCAACATTAGTTAAAGATTGTTTTAACTATTCTCCCTCCTTTCTTCTTTCTGTGTTTCTTCTCTTTCTCGTTTCAGGATCAGGCTGGCAGCTGCAGAATAAAATAAATAGGGTTGCTCTTTCTTGCACTGTTTTCCTTCTGGTATTAACTATACAAACAACTGACTAGGAACGTAACTCTATTCAATAATTCCTTCATTCCTACTCAGTTTCATTCTCAGGCTGACATTATAGGTTAAAGTTCTTACATGCGCTAGTCTGGTCCTGTTCAGGTCTTTCCACAGCCACTAGTGCCAGTTGATTACCAGGTAATGAAGACTGACTATTGATTTGTTTATTACAGGGTAATATTTCTTGTGATATAATGCTAATATATCATAACTGTACTTTGGGGTCAGGTGGGCAAGCCAAATTAACTTTGTTTATTAATGTTATTACATGCTTTTTTTATTCTTAACCTCTTTTATCATCCAAAAGAATATGGGTACAGTTTTCTTCAGAGGAGTTGCCATAAAATGGTTTATTTGTCATCTAGAAAGTTTATGTAGATTGTATAGAGCTTCTTTTATAAAAAAGGCAGCTCTGTGCTCATCCCTATCAACTGTTCTGGGATGCTGTCCAGTATTTTAGATCTGCTAGTTGGTATTCACAAAATATTTTAATCTGCTACTGTCTTAGGTAATATTATATTTTTAAATAATTAGGAGAATTTATAATGTGTATATAAAGTTTTCTTGTTGTTAATATATCCAAATTGTGTCACTGTTGCAGGCCTTAGCGAACAATCCCAAAATTGAAGTAATAGATGGAAAATATGCCTTCAAGCCCAAGTACAACTTGAAAGATAAGAAGGCCCTACTTAGGCTCTTAGATAAGCATGATCAGCGAGGCTTGGGAGGGATACTTTTAGAAGACATAGAGGAAGGACTGCCAAATTCCCAGAAAGCTGTCAAGGTAACCTTTCTTTACTTTTATGTCATAATTATATCCTCTGTAGATAATTGGTGTATTTTTTTTTTTTTTCATTGTTTAAAAAGTTCTTTCTTCTTCTCATTCTTTTATCTCATCATTTGTTTAACTTGAAAAAATAAGTGTATATAGAGTTTTGGCAAAAAGAGAGAGAGAAATTTGATTTTTCCCCAGGGAAAGGGAAATTATAGCTAAAGTGCAATAATTATTTTATTTTATGAAATTCTAAGGTCTTAGGTCCCAGAAACTTAAAGGTGATTTAAAGTCTTTTAGGATGTTGTTTTCAAGGGTGTGACCAAACTTTAATTTTGCCTTTCAGAATAATTTTAGAACCTCTTCATAGTACTTTTTCACAATACTTTTTTTCTTTTTTGGTATTTATCCAAATAATATTTTCTACTCTTTCTCCTAATCTCTACAGAATGAGAGTTGAAGGAGTGACAGGAAATTTAGTATCTCTAGATCTAGATTCCTGTGAGCATTCACAATTTTTAATGTTCTTTTGTTCAGTAAATATTAGGAGGAAAGAATGAAAGTTATGGGGAGGTTGGGAGACAACTAAGATTATTCAAGATATGACTCCATCTGATTTCAGAAAAGACTTGGTAGTTTGCAGGTTAAATATTCAATGTAGTAATAAAACATGTAAGATTGAAATTGGAAAGAGAACTACCTGAGGGAGATAAAAGGAGTAAATAACATTGACTAGCTCTTCTGAAGGAAGATGGGGCAATCTACTTCCGTAGTGTTACTGCCTTGGAAACCCAAGGAGGGGTCGCTATGAGTCAGGTCTGACTCGACGGCACATAACAACAACAACAACAACAACAACAAGAAGCTCGAGTTAAATTTTTAACTCCTTAAACTTAAAATCTATCAGGTTATATATCTTGTTTGACAAGAAGCAAATGTATAAATAGAATTTTAGGTTGTCTCCCTCCTTGCTGTTTCCCTTCCTAGTCATAGGCCACCAGCGCTGTTGTCCCTGCAGCCCTTGGTGACCAGGGTTGATCTTTAGGTCACTTCTCAGGTCCCAACACCACTTGGAAATACTCAAGCTGTTGATCCTGTCAGAGTAGCTGATAGTCCACATCTCTGACCATCTTTGTATTTACTGTTTTCATTCAGGTTTTTCTACTCATTGGTGCCTAGTCTGCTTCTGTATAGTTCCTTTCAAAGCTCAGGGTTCCAGGATTATCTTCTGTATCTCTGTCAATTGGTTTTTCTTTTCTTTTTTGAACAGAGTCTGTGTTGCTTGTCTACCTATTCCTATTCCTTCATCTTACCAGAAGTCCTTCTAAATAGAATTTTAGCTGCTAAGAATTTTTCTTAGAATTAAATACATTTTTTTTTTTTTTTTTAGGAGCATGTAGATTTTTGTGTAAAAGATACTGGTAACCTAGGGGGTGTTCACTTTGATTTCTCTATAAAGGCAGAGGACAGAGCATTTCGTTGTGATGATTCAGTGGTGTCATTTTTACAATGAAATGAGATAAGATGGTTTAAATATTTTTGCTTTCTGATACTCTTACTTAATGTTGGTACAGAACTGAGAGAACTTACAGGAACACATGGCTATCACATCATTTGAACTTGCTTTTGGCAGAGGCTGGCTTGCAGTCAGTTTATATTTAAATATTCACTAAAGCTTTAGGTGGTAGAGAAATGCTGACACATTGTTAATCTGAGAGAGCACATATATAAGGGAAGGTGACTCACCTTTTGTGATTGAAGTTTTCCAGCCAGATGGGTATTTCTACATAGACAGTGAGAAAGATAAATTTCAATTTTGCCTGTAGTAGGTTCAGGACCTGACCTTAAACTCATTAAATAGACAAATGAAGGAGAAGAGCTTTTCTTATGGGGGGGGGGATGGTGAGTATAAAGACTCCATTGTAGAAAAAAACCTATTGCCATTGAGTCAATTCCGACTCAAAATGACTTTATAAGATAGAGTAGAACTGCCCCTCAGAGTTTCCAAGGCTGTAAATCTTCATGGAAGCAGACTGTTACATCCTTCTCCCACAGAGCATCTGGTGGGTTTGAACTGGTGACCTTATGGTTAGCAGTCAAACGCTTAACCATTATGCCACCAGCGCTCCTTATTGATGAAGATATATTCAAGGAATTGGGGGTAAATCAGTTTGTCTAATAAGGAGCTGTGGGAACATTGGTAGCTCAGTGGTTAAAGTATTCAGCTTCTAACTGAAAGGTCAGTGGTTCGAATTCACCAGCTGGTCCTTGGGAGAAAAACATGGCACTCTGCTTCTGTAAAGATTTACAGTCATGGAAACCCTGTGGGACAGTTCTACTCTGTCTTATAGGGTTACAATGAGTTGGAATCAACTTGTCTGCAATGGGTTTGGTTTTTTGAGTGAGGGGCATTCATGTAGGGGAGTTAGTGAAAGATAAAATTGGAAAAGAAAGTTGGGTCCAGACCATTAGTACAAGCTTTTGAGTAGGGAAATAATGTGATAAAGACATTAGTTAAGGAAGAGGGACCTGATAAACCAAATCAAACACACTGCTATCGAGTCAGACCTGACTCATAGTGACCACTTCTTGGGTTTCTGAGGTGGTATCACTTTGGAAGTAGATTGCCCAGCCTTCCTTCCGAGGAATGGCTGGTGGGTTTGAACCGCCAACCTTCTGGTTTGCAGTCAAATGCCTTAGTCACTGTGCCACCAAAGTTCCCAGCAAATAATAGGAAGAGTGAATTTGATGGACAGGAAAATAGAAGTTGGGGGTAGGGACTTTTTTCATAGTTTAGGCACAAAATCATAGGAAATATAGGCAACATGGAGAATGAAGACTTGACAGAATTATTTTGATATTTTAATTATTAAGGGATTATTAATAATTAATAATTATTTAATTATTAAGGGATAAGATGAAGAAAATTGAAGTTTGGAAACTGGATGGCCATATACATAATTCTAATTTACAAATAGAGTGCTCTTGCTCTTTCTCTGCCCTAATTTAATCTACCTTTATCTCTTGCCTGAAATGTTAATAGGGTCTCTAATTGATATCTTTCCTTCTACCTTTTTGTTTGTTTCAAAGTATTTCATGTAGAGTAGCTGGAGTGATTTAAAAAATACATCTAGTAGATTATGTTACCCTTACTTTAAAACCTTGCAATAATTTAAGTTTGGATTTAGGATAAAATCTGAACTCTTATCCATAGCCTGGAACTCTAGTGGTATAGTGGGTAAGACATTTGGCTGCTATCCAGGTCAGTGGTTCAAACTTGCTGGGAGGAAGGTGAGGCTGTCTTCTTCTGTAAAGATTTACAGCTTAGAAACCCAGTGGGGTTTTCATGAATCAGAATCCACTTGATGGCTGTGGATTTGGTTTGTTTTGGTTTATCCATAGCCTGGAAAGCTGTGTGATCTGGCCTTGTCTTTTCATTCTTTCCCACAGGTCTTCCTCATTTCTTCCACTGAGGCTAGCTTTTTCCTCTCTCAAGGCAATTATACATGTTGTTTCCAGGGCTAATTCCTTTTCCGTCTTCAAGTCTCATCCTAAATTAAATAATTCAACAAATAATTTATTACTTATCACAAGGAGCTCTGGTGGCATAGTGGGTAAGGCACTTGACTGCTAACTGGAAAGTCAGTGGTTCAAACCCACCAGCTGCTCTGCAATAGAAAGACTAGGCAATCTACCTCTGTATTAAGATCCTCAGAAACCCAGTGGGGGTTGCTATGAGTTGGAAATGACTCGATGGCAGTGAGTTTTAGCATATTGAGGATTATTTCAAATGCAGAGAGGTAACTTAAATGTCACCTAAGAGAAGGCTTGGCTGAACTGTTTTATTTATTTGATTATTGATCCCTTCCCCTGTACCCCACAAAAAATAAACTGTGGTTTTCAAGTTGATTTCAGCCGATGGTGACCCTATAGGACAGAGTAGAACTGCCTCTTAGAGTTTCCAGGGCTATAATCTTTATGGAAGGAGACTACTACATCTTTGTCATGCTGCCTGGCTGGTGTGTTGGAACCGCTGACCTTTCAGTTAGTAGCCAAGTGCTTAACCACTGTACTACTAGGGCTCTTTGTTTATTTCTCGTTAGAGTATAAATGGGCAAGGCAGACACTGTGTTTGTTAATTCACCAGTGTATACTTAGCACAGTGCCTGGGACATAGTAAATGTTCAAAAAATATTTGTTGGACAAATGAATTAAGAGGCTGTGTTGCTGTCATCCATTTGGAAGGGATGT